GTTTAAGTTTCATTTAAGCAGCAAAGGAGTATTTTGTTTGTTTTTTCTTTGTTGTAAAGTGTAGTAGGAGTAATGAAATCTTTAAAAACAAATAACGGGTTTGAATGACTTTTCTCTTTTCTCCTTCTGCCCCAGTTATAAGTGTTAACAGGCCTCTGGACTATGAGATGGTTCCCAAGGGGATGATCTATTTGACAGTGATGGCCAAAGATGGGGGAAACCCAGCGCTTAACAGCACCGTCCCCGTCACAGTGGAAGTTATAGTAAGTGCAACCTTGTGGTTGAATGAAATAAGAGCTGCAGCTGAATTTTCCACCAGGAAAATTTATGTGTGAATTTTTAACCAAATAATTAAGGGGAGATACGGTTGTATATATTTAGACTCAAAAGAAAAATTTTATCTTTTTGTGGGTTGCATTTTTTATTCCAAAACAGTAAAAGAAACAATCCATTGGACTTTGTTTCCAAGTTTAAAGACGTTTCGCTTCCCATCCAGGAAGCTTTTTCAATTGAAAATGTCAGAAATAGCGTTGAGTTCCAGGCTGTGATGTTTTGTTTTAGGTTCCTAACCCACATGCAGAAACACTCGGAAACAGGAGAAAAAGTTCAAAGGTTTATTGAATTAACAGGTCAGGAGGTTATCAGATTCAGGACTGGTCACGACTGGTTTCTCTGCAGAGGGGGACAGAGTGGTTAGCAGATATCCAGGTATGTTTGCAGGTTGAATGAGTGCAGGTCTGTACCTCTTCAGAGATTCAGGCTGAGCGGCAGAGGAGGGGAACCAGGAGGGTCCAGAGGCTGAAGGCAGGCAGAGGCAGAGCTTGATTTCTGATCTTCCAGTTTCTTCTGAGAGCGGGCAGGCAGGTTACTGACAGATTGACTCTCCAGGGTTCTTCGGAGATCAGACAGGCTTGTTTCAGACTAAGAAACTCTTTCAGATTTTCTGGGTTCAGACAGATTCTTCCTGGGAAGCGGAGAGGACAAAAACAGGTTAGGTTCTGGTTCAGGTTTCAGGGGAGTCAGAGAATCAGACAGGCAGGTCGGCTAAGGTTTGCTAACCATAACTGGCTTAACACTCTGGCACTGGAGTGTTGCTCTGCCGCTGCTTAAATGCTGGTCTCCTGATGAGCAAATGAGCCGCAGGTGTGGTAGTCAGCTTCAGCTCCAGGAGACCTAGGACGCCCTCTGCTGGAGAAAGGTGGACAGACCTCCAGATCCCAGCACAGGCTTTATACAGGAGCCCTGCAAAGCCTTGTTTTTGCTTAGAAAAATGGGACACCCCTTTGTAATGGGGGTCGTTTCGCTTCTTTGTTAGCCTGAAATGCCCCATCGTTAATGTTAGGTTTATTCAAAGATGATTATAAAATTAATGTGTGCTTATGAAACATTTGTGCGAGGGGAAGCTCAACTCCTGTCTCAGGATCCAGTCAGGAGACCATCCTGCCTTGTCATTCTGATGGAGCATCCTGTCTTTATGAACTGATCAATTGTTCTGTCAGAACAATACTCTGTTTGTAACCATGCGTCATGTTCTGTTAATAAACGCTCTGCAGAGGAGGTCCAGTGGGAGACAGTGTGTTTGAGTCTGGAGTTCAACGGTCTCTCCTTTCTGCAGAAATTGTATCCATAATTGTGTATTTCAGTTCTTCCTTTTTCAAAAAACCTACATTTTATGAACCCGACAGTTAACCACCCCCCCTTTCAGAGACATAGACAGGTACGGGGCATTGCAGGCTAACAAAGAAGCCAAACAACCCCCATTCCTAATGAGTGAACCTGTTCGTCTGGTTCAATTTGCATGTTTTCTAAGCCAAAACAAGTTTTTTTTTTTTTTGGTCCACTCTAAAACCTAAAACTCAACGCTATTTCTGACATTTTGAATTGAAAAAGCTTCCTGGATGGGAAGCTTAACATCTTCAAACTTGGAAACAAAGTCCAGTGGATTGTTTCTTTTACTGTTTTGGAATAAAAAAAATGAAACCCACAAAAAGTTAGAATTTTACTTTCGAGTCTAAATATATACAAGCGTTTCTCCCCTTAATTATTTGGTTAACTTGGAAACAAAGTCGAATGGATTGTGTCTTTAACTTTTTTGGAATGACCACGACCTGGATGACTTAGAATCTTCACCAGCGTGTTGTTAATTAATCCTTATAAGCCATAAATTAGTATTTTAACACCATTAATAAGAGTATGTATGGTTTTTATTGGAACAGTATGTTTTCAACTACACATCAACACTGCAAAAAATCTAAATCTAGATAAGTAANACAATTTCATTGTCTAATTTAAAGTGACTATTATAAAAATACTGATTCCATTGGCAAACTATCTCATTTACCTACTTAAATCAAGGGTGAAAAAACTTAATTTAAGAAATTTTTACTTATTTCTAGATCGTTTTTCAAGTGTAAGAGGACGTCCAACCACATTGAAGGTCATTTAAAGCTTAAGTCAAGTCATTTCAATAGTAATAATAATCCACAGCTAACTCAGTAGTCTCTAGACAGTTTTCCAGAATTTGAACACTGCAAAAAATCTAAATCTAGATAAGTCATTTTTTCTAAAAAATAAGTTGATTTGTTCTTGAAATTATGAGGTAAAAGAGAAATTTTGCCAATGGAAAAAGACAATTTACACTTAAAATAAGAAAACACAATTGTATTGTCTTATTTCAAGTGCATCTTATCTAATTATCTTATTGTAAGAGTAAAAATACTCATTCCATTGGCAAACTGTCCCATTAACCTACTCAAATTAAGGGCGAATACACTTAATTTAAGAAGTTTTTACTTATTTCTAGATCGTTTTTGCAGTGAAGTCAAGCCTCAAAGAGCTGATTGTTGAAGTTAGGTATAAGTTACACATAAATTGTGGTGTCTAGCTTATCCAAAACCTATGAGTAACTTGCACATAACTTATGTGTAACTTATCAAGCACATATCAACACGACCAACAGATTTCCTAGCAGGCAAGACGTTGAATCTGCTGGGACTGCAAACAACTATTAAAAAACAAAGGTGCTGCCCATTTAGCTTCAGCCATATTGAGATATGATAACTTGATCTGTTCAATCCTGCTGTATGCCTTCAACCCTCAGCTCCAGGGCCGCATGTGGCCCAGTGGCTGATTTAATATATTAGCAATCAGGTATGGGCTGTTTTCTGTTTCAAATGATCTCAGAACGCATTAGTTCGACATCCATATAGAACTTTGCTACACTGCAAAAAATGTAAATCTACATAAGTAATTTTTTCCTAATATAAGTGCATTTTTTCCTGAATTGAGGAGGAAAGTGAGACATTTTGCCAATGAAACAAGACAATTACCATTTAAAACAAGAAAAATACAACTGCTTTGTCTTGTTTCAAGTGCATATTATCTAATTATCTTATTCTAAGAGTGAAAATACTCATCCTATTGGCAAACTGTCTCATTTACCTTCTCAAATTAAGGATAAATACACTTCATTTAAGACATTTTTACTTTTTTCTAGATCGTTTTTGCTGTGCAGTTTCCCCTTCTGAATCATCATTTCTCTGATATAATATTCAAAATGTTTTGTCTTTCTTTATTTTTTTCTATTTAAAATTCAAAACTGGTAAACTGACCTTTGTTAAGAATATATAAATGCAGTCATTAAAGCCCGATGAGGCGACGAAGCCGGTAGTCGTCAGCCTTCCAGTCTCAATTCCCACAGAAGACATCCATTATACGTCCAACTTTTTATTCATGAAACGGCAGAGAAGAATGGATGAATATTCTTTGATATGCATGGACTATAGCTATTTCTATACACATCTTACATGAGGGAGAAAAACCAGACGGGATAGATGCTGACAATTGAGCGTTGCCCCTATGTCTCTCTGCCTCTGCCTCTCTCTGTCGTGACTCACACCACAGGGGTTTATCAGCAGCTGGCAGCATCTCACTCGCACAATGCTTTGCACCAGTGTAACTCGGAGCCCAAATAGATAATTGTCCTAGTGACTGTTGTTAAAGTGTTAACATTTCTCAGCAGCTCACGCAGTGGGGATCTTCTCTGTGAATAGCCAGAGAACTGGAAATGTTGGTGTGAATTGGAGTCTTATTCAGGAGTGGGAGGCTGTGAGAAATTTAAATGCTCTCACTGAATCTGTTTGAAAGCAGCTGTTGTTCCAAGTTCTTGTCATTTTACACTGTTCAGAGTTATTGCTTTTCAAACAACATCTATCGATCCTCTCCTGCTTATCCAAGATCAGAATGCGGAGGTTACAGGGCTGTACATCTTTTTCAGCAGAGATACTCTGCAGCTCCTTTGAGTGGATTTCGGTGTGGCCCCCCCGGGCAAACTAATATATTGTCCTGGGTTTTCTGGAAGGCCAAAAAAACCCTCTAGAAAGATTCCTCCAGGTCGCATCTAAATCAGATATCCTAGACACTTCTAACTCTTTTTAGGGCAGCGATTCAGAAGCTCTTTTTCCAAACTTTCCTGTGG